GAGTCCCTGGTATATAAAGTGGTGCCCTAGTGCTACGGCTAAGTATGGACACGCATGGAACACAGGCGGAATCAATTGCGAACCTACCGGGCCGAGGTTGTGGACGAATAGGGGGGTTGTGGCCGCAGCGTTGAGCTCGCTTGCCAAACCGACGGCAGTATGGGCAACTGGCTGGAGATCGGTTACGAGGACGATCAACTTGCTGGAACGGCGACGCCCGGGAGGTCGCCACCGCGTAGACTTGGGCGGACGCCGATTTCCTCTTTGCCATCTCAGCGGCCTCAAACCCGCGAGCGACCTCCAGTGCCTTCGACAAAGTCGTGTACTGTTTCCGTAGGAATTTGGAATACATACGCTACAGAAATTGGTGGCAGCGGTGGGATAGAATGGGAAAAAACAAGCCTACGAAACAAGCCCCCGTCGGTTCAACACCGAACTTAACGGCAAAGTTGGAATCAGTGGACATTTCGGATTCGGCCACTGCATCTCCCACCACCCGAGCGGCGGTCGTTCCAGACCCTGGTCCCAGCATCTCTGATATACGCGTGAACGCTGACGTCGGCCGCTCGACCATCAGGCCGCCCAACCCCTTGCATCCTGGGGACGACTACTATCTATGGGCGTGCCGTGCCAAGAGTTTTCTTCGAGGGCTGAACTCAGAAACTGCTAGCGCTTATCTCATCTCCCTGTTGGACGACGCGGCCCTGCGCCAGCTAATGTCGACAGGAGTGATGCTGGAAGAACCGGTTGAAAAGTTGTTCGAAGCCCTTCAGCGGCTTTTTGGATACCGTCAACCTCCGGCTTTGGCGCTAGAGTCATTCTGGAACCGGCGGCAGCACACCGGAGAGTCAGCTGACTCTTATGTCGGCGCCCTGCGTGAGCTGTCTCTCCTGGCCTTTCCGGAAGAATCCGCTGAGCGACGCGAGTTGGAGATTTTGAAGAGATTTACCCTTGGTGTGGCGAACTCTGAACTGTATGCCAAATTCATACGGAAACAGTACACGAGTTTGTCGAAGGCACTGGAGGTCGCTCGCGGGTTTGAGGCCGCTGAGCTGGTTCAGAGGGAATCGGCGTCCGCCCAAGTCTACGCGG